AGCCGTAATATCACTATCACTCTCGGTTCACCTGCTAACTGGTTGTTGTTGGTGTTCAGGATTAACGGCGAGGAGGCAGAAAACCGCTTCTGTGAACACAAACGTCTCAACATGTCGACTCTGAGGATGACCTGGGAGGCCAAAGTCCAGCTGAAGGAAATCCTGGTTAACTCTGGATTCCCTGAAGGTACCTGAACGCACCACCGACTCACTCTGGGTGTTTTATTAAAGCTGATTCTGAGTCAGTTCTTGTCGTCTCCCGTCAGAGTGTTTGATGACTCAGATGTTCAACACGGTCGGCCCCGACAACAACCTGGACGTGGTGGTTTCTCTGCTGACCTTCGGCTCGTACCCCAACGTCTGCTACCACAAAGAGAAGAGGAAGATCCTGACCACGGAGGGCCGCAACGCCCTCATCCACAAGTCCTCCGTCAACTGCCCCTTCAGCAGCCACGACATGACGTACCCCTCCCCGTTCTTCGTCTTCAGCGAGAAGGTAGAGGTCGCCTCGATACCAGCTGTAAACGGGCCCATTGAGGAAGCTTGTTGTTGTTGTTGTTGTTGTTGTAACTGTTTGTTTGTTGCTTGTGTATCAGATCCGGACCCGAGCGATCTCGGCTAAAGGGATGACCCTGGTCAGTCCTCTGCAGCTGCTGCTGTTCGCCTGCAAGAAGATCAGCTCCGACGGAGACATCGTGGAGCTCGACGACTGGTACGGTCCCATCAGTGAGAGTTACCTTAGCATAACGTTAGCTCTGTGGCTCGGGGAGTAACGTTAGGTTAAAGCTGTTTATTGTGTAGTGTTTTGTTAAAGTATGATGAATAAACCTTTCACGTTCAGGATCAAACTGAAGATTCCTCACGAGGTGGCGGGCGGTATCGCGGCGCTGCGGGCCGGACTGGAGGCTCTGGTGGTGGAAGTGACCAAAGACCCAGAATACGTCAGACAGATGGACCAGACCAACCAGCGGCTCCTCAACCTGATCAGACACGTCTCCAAACCGTCAGCAGCCGGACTCAACATGATGGCCAGCAACCAGAGGTACACACACACACACACACCTCGTCGTTCATTAACCCTTTAATAAATTCACATAAAGTCTAGAACAGCTTCATCAGATTCTCCTCCGTCGTCTGTGCACAGGATGGGAGACGGGCCTCGACCTCCAAAGATGGGACGCTTCGACGGAGGAGGAGGTTACAGAGGAGGGGGAGGAGGATACAGGGGAGGTGGAGGATACGGAGGAGGAGGAGGAGGGGGGGGAGGGTATAGGGGAGGCGGGGGTTACAGAGGAGGAGGAGGAGGATACAGAGGAGGAGGTGGATATGGAGGAGGAGGAGGTTATAGAGGAGGTGGCGGCTACGGAGGAGGAGGAGGTGGTTACCGAGGTGGAGGAGGTTACAGAGGAGGTTATTAAAACATTTCAGGACTTTAAAAAAAACCTGTAATTTTTAGTTTTTGTGAATAAAATGTTTAACCAGGTTGTTAAAGGTTAAATGATTAATCATAAATAATAATCAGAATGAAAATGTTTGTTTAGTGAATCGTGTTTGTTTGTATTGATTATTTCATTGTAACTCAACGTCCCCAATAAACACTGTTTAAATGTCTGTGCAGAGTTCGACACTAACGTGCTAAGCTAAGAATGTAGTTAAATAGACATAGGACAGAGCACAAGGGGCGGGGCTTAAGATAAACAATACCTGTCTATACAAGCTGATGTTAGCATTTAGCTCAAAGCACGATTGAGAGATGAAGAATCCCAGCTGTAAACATTGAGTCTTGTAGGACCGAAAGAGAATAAAAATGTGATAAAGCGCTCGTTCACAAACTGCTTCCTGTAGTAATTTTTTATTATTCAAATGTTAAGTTTGGATTTACAGGCACATGTGAACAAACAGGGTCGTTCAGGTCCTCACAGGGCTGGAGACACGGTGCAGAGGAGTCCTGCAGGCTGCGCAGCACATACATCACCATCTAAGACAACAGGGTTACAATACAAATAACTGGTACATTATAACTTAAAATACTGTTTATACATCATGTCTGTGTGCGCTGCACAGCCGGCAGAGCGCCGTCTGGATGGAGGGACGATAACGAGTCCAGTTCAGATTCTCAATATTCGATCTGCTGGAGAAGTTTTCTCTGTTCAGGACCTGGTTTTTTACGAAGACCCTGCTTCAGTACCGACGTGAGGAGACGGTGTGACAAGGACATTTTTGTGAAATAAAACATTGACGCCCTCATTGGGACTGTGATTACTTTATATTAAGGCACAAAACACTAATTAATAACTACTGTAGCAACGTGCGACTGAGTGTCCTGATCGGTAAAAAGGGTCAAATCTCAAAAAGAAACTAAACAAAAAATATTCAGTTAGGTTGAATTAACATGTGAAAACCCACAGAATCAATAAAACATGAAATATTGGCATCGCTATGAGGCAGCAACACTGAGCCGTGTATACAAGCAAGCGTATTATAATAATAACATACCACAGACGTTATCATAGATATTTATATATATATTTAACCTGGAGGTTTCAGTTGATTGATTGTGATAAAACTTAACGTGGCTGTTTGCATGTTGGAGTTTTATTTCTTAAAATCAGCCACTCCTGAATCATTTTTTTTAAGCATATATTTACACAAATAACAAATTCCTCACTCTATGTCATAATAAAAAACATTCACACAAAAATATAACATTTGAAATAATTATTAGCACCAGTGTATCAGATAAAATTCTCGCTACGCAAAATGTACAAAGTTGCATAGTGTTGGATTTAGCCTGGAAGAAAATGTTAACGTGTGATCAGTAAAAACAGAGATATAGAAATGTAGATATTATATACTCATTGCCGCCTGTGACCTCCGCCATACTGTGGAGGTCAATAAAAGCTAGTTAACAATGCTGAGAGATTCAGACGGCACTACAAAATCCACTATAACTTGCTTTATTCTGTACCGATTTTCATTAAATGTGGTTCGTTTATAAAGGTGACAAATTTATCCTGATACCGGAATTAATTCAGTCACTCGGGGGAGAACTCCACTGCAGGCTCCGATCTATAAACAGGAAACATTGTCAGTTTGTCTAAAAATTTGGATTTCTGTACCAAAAAATGATCCCCCCAGTGATTGAATTAATTCCAACCAGTATCATGTTAGTGGATTTTGTAGTGCAGTCTGAATCTCACAGTATTGATAACTAGCTTGTATTGAGCTCCGCAATATGGCGACCACTCAGACGCACGTCAAATGGAGAATATCTACGTTTCTACGTCTGTGGGTAGAAACACCAGTGACAAGCAGCGACTTCTGGAGGACGACAGATAATAACAGACTGTAGTGTTAAAACATCAGACAAGAAATGGTGTTTGACCGTAGTGAGAAACCTGAAGTCCTCAAAGACTCGTTCATCTTGTGGAAACAAGCTAATATCTTCTAACATTAACCCGAGACACGGATCTTGAAATGCATTTTTTTTGTGGGCGTGGTTTCACTCAGCAGCACATCCCATTGGTTGGAGGTGTAAATACTGTCGTAGCTTTGGGAGCAAAGAATAAGAACAAAAAAAGAGGAGAGGATTCCTTCACTGTGTGGTTTCTGAAAATAAAACAATGCCAAGCATAGTGGCGCTCTGACAGTCGAACATCCGGCTAACTGAAAACTGTAGAACTGAAGTAGCCATCCCCAGGCATGATGGGTAACGGCTGGTTCGACACAGAAAATACGAGCGGACGTTCCAACAAGTGCGAGGAACTTCCTGCGTTGGTGAAACTTCCTCCTGACGGGTGCAGTCACGTCGGGTTTGTGGTTGTGGTTTTTCTCCGCACGGTTTCTCTACGGCGCTTAGTTCATCCTACCGTAACCACGTCACTGCGTCTTGGACAAAAACAAAAGTAAAAGCTGCTTCTCTTTTGCAAACTGCCATGTTTGAAAGATTGGCTTCAAAGACAAGAATCTGAAAACAAAAAAAGGTTTAAAAAAACTGTTTTGGTAAAAGTCGGCGTGTTCGCCGGAGTGTTAGACGTGGAGGGGGGGGAATCAGAGGAGGGCGGGGTTAAGGCCTCTCCAGGGACGGCGTGTTGAAGCAGCCGTCGGGTAACGTGTTCTTGATGTCGTTGAGGTTGGTGATGTCGGCGCGGATCTCGCGGATCTGTCGGTCGTAGTCGCTGATCATGTCCTCCTGGGTACGCGCCACGTCGTTCAGCTCCGCCAGCTTCCTGTCCAGCTCGCTGTTGGCCATCTTGCCCTTGGCGCTCTTCAAGGACTCGTCAATCTGGTTGAGCTTGCTCAGGTCCACCTTGTCAATGTTTCCTGGAGACAAAAGAGAAAATTCTTTGACTTTAGAGTCCCGACATCAATCAGAACCAATAAGACGAAACCGTTCAGGTCAACTGGACAAACTCTGATTGATCTTAATTCATCCATAAGGTAACGAACTGCTGCCTCACAAGTTCTGGAAAACTTCCATGGTTGGACTGAACTTTGATGCTGCAGCGAATGATTTTTATGGAACTGGATTATTTATATGTGGGAAATGTTTTGAAAGAGGTCGACTTGTGCTGATTGGATCGTACAAATTAATGGTGCAAAAACACAATCCTGGCTTCAAATGGGAACTACTGGGAGCAAAAGTGTCCTGAGATAACTTCGATAATGAACTATACAAATAAAATGTCTGTAAAAACATTGTTATTCGGTTCAACTCTGATGTCTGCTCTTACCCAGCTGCTCCAGCAGGGCGGTGATGGTGCTCAGAACCGTCTTTACGGCGCCCTTGGCCTTGCGGGCGTTGTCCTCAGCCTCCTTGGCGTTGTCTGACGCCTGCGGAACAATAAACAGCCTTGATCCAACAGGAACTCGTTTTACAGATTACTCTAAAATGTTTGTTATTAACCAGCAGAGCCGGCTCGTACCATTCCAGCCATCATCATGTCCCGGTCTGCCTCAGACTTCTTCCTGGCCAGCTCCTGCTCTGCGGCGCCCAGCTGGGTCATCATGTCGTTGACCTCGTTGTCCAGCTTGTTGGTGTCCTCCAAGGCCTTCTCCGCGTCGTCCTTGGTCTTGGCGGAGCCCTGAGAGCACACAGATTCAGTCAGAGGATAAAAACCTCGCCAACATATTTCCGGTTAACCGCAGATTGCTTCCCGTCTTACCTTCTGCACGTTGCTGGCGATCCTCTCGGCCTCCTCCGCCTTGCTCTTGGCCTCTCGGGCATCTGCGGCTGCGTTGCCAAGCGCCGCCTCTGCCTGCCTGGTCTTCTCGTTGGCGGCCATGATGGTGGCATTTATGGCAGGGATCTTCTTCAGGGCGTCCTCGGCGGCGGTCTTGTTGTCATTGACCCTCTTGTCGAAGTCTGCAGGAAGTCCCGAAGGTTACAAAGACGTTCAGTTTTATTTGATTTAAACTATTAGTAACGGAGTCATCTCTTAACTTGCACCTTTATTTGAAAAACTAAACCTTTACATTACATTTTAATTTCTTCTACTGAAACATTTGTCTGTTGTTAATGTCGAGTTTAGTGTTTTTAAGGTTAGCAGTTTTGGTTTAATGATAATTAATGGGTTTCTTATTCAGTATACAGCAAATGAATTAATGGACACATTGATTAACTAATATTTTAAGGGTTTTATGCATTCATTTCATTCATTTTTATACTAGTATATTAACTGTTTCAATCAGGTTTATTAAATTATCCCTGAATTTTCTTTAAATGTACACATTAAGGTACTTTCATGCTATTTGGTAAACTTAAAATCTCTTAAGTTAAAGAGATCATCTCACCTATTAATTTATCTAGTCATTAACTCCAAATTTGCAATTTTATCAAAGAAATTCCTTTAAAGTTACAAATACTCTTGGAAAACCTATTAAAACCCCATAAGCCATTAAAACCCTGTGCAGGTATTCTATTGAAAATTAACATATGACAATACAATAATGTGTTCAACGATTACCCCAAAAATATCTATAAAAATAACGTAATGACAGGCAGGTACCTCGGAGGTCTTCCAGGATGCTCTCGGCCTCTCTGAAGGTGGACTGACCCTTCTTGGCCGCCTCCTCAGCCAGAGCTTTGGCAGCGTCGGCTCGAGCCAACAGCTGATCCGCAGTCTGTCAACAAAACAACAATAACAACTTAATTTCATATAAGACGTGTTTTCCAACAAAGTTAAAAAGAGCTGCAGTCAGGACGTGTTAGCAGTGTTTAGCTTAGCATAAAGACTGGAAGTAGGAGTCTCCTGAGTACGTACCTGCTGCTCACTTTTGCCTTTCTCCAGCAGTTTACGGACTTCCTGCTCTTTGCCCTTCAGGTCGTCTCTGAGGTCGTTGTAGTCCTTCTCCGTCTTATCAATCAGTTTGTCGAGGTCCGACGCCTCCTTCTTTATCTTACTGGCTTCATCCTGAAAACACACCGGCCACTCAGTCACCCAGGAAGTCGAATGAAACATCGTTAAAAACTCATTCGCGTCAGTGGGAAACTCACCTCCAGGGCCTTGGTGTCGAACGGCGGGAGGCTGGTAAGGTTGGCGAAGATCTTCAGAGCTTTGTCTCCGGCGTCTTCGGCCTCGGCCTGAACCTTGTTGGCCTGTTTCTCCAGATTCTTGGCCAGCTCCTTCGCCTCGTTGTACCTGAACACCAACGGACAGAACAGGTGTTACACTTGGATAATCATTCGAGGGACGAGAGTTAGCTTTGGAGTGACGTACTTCTTGTTGAGCTCGGTGATCTCCTGACTCGTCTTGCCCTCGCCGTCCAGGGTCTTCAGCAGCAGGTTGTATGCTTTGGTCGACGTGTCGTTGGCGTCTTTGGCAATCTTCTCGATCTGATCGGCGTCCATCTTGTGCCTGAGAAAACCGCAGACAGATTTGTTCAGATACTGGTGTCAGAAACTCCTCCAGTACCAGCGAGTACGCAGGTCTGTGCACCGATACCAAATTTATTCATTCATTTATTCGCCACTACCAACATTTTGATGGCCACAATGCTGAACTCAAACTACTCCACAAACAGTTCAACGGACACATTTTTAGAAAGGTGTCGAGTCTCAATAAGCAAAGAAATATGTAATGTTTGAAATCTTTAAAGTTGTAAATAAACTCTTGTCTTACTTCTCAGCCAGCGTCCGAGCCTCCTCCGCCAGCAGCGTCATGTTGTTTGGATCTCCGGTGCCGCTGGGGGGTTTGATGTCCTGCAGACGACAATAACCTTTTTTACCAAAGTTCTCCGTTAGTCATTTAACTAACAGTTGCCGTGACAACAGTGACATCACTCACCACTTTGCTGATGGCATCCTTGGCCTTGTCCAGCTCTTGCCGGGCTCGGTCGATCAGGTCCTCGGCGTCTCGGACTCGGTTGCGGGCGCGGTCGGCCTGAGTGCCGGTGTCGTCCACCGTGTTGCGGATGTTCTGCAGTCGGTTCCACTGGGTGGTCAGAGTGTTGTTGAGGTTGTTCAGACGATCCAGCAGACCTTTGTCTACATCTGTGGGGTCAAAGGTCACATTGGGTCAATCATTTCAGGGCTGAGCTCATTTTCTGTGTTTCTGAGGAAAGCGGACAACGTGTTACCTTTGCTGGTCTGAGCCTCCTCCAGCAGCTCCATGATGGCTCTCTCCGCCTCCTTTAGCCGATCCTCAAAGGCCTTATCGGAGACGGTGTCCTGACCCGAGCCGAGGTTATCGATCAGAGTCTGCAGATCGTGGAGCTTCTGCCTCTGCTGGTTCACCTGGAGAGACAAACAGTCATATACCGTTGTGCAGGTGCCCCAAACAGAAGAGTTTGAAGTTGCTGCTGTGGTTATTCTCCGTGTCGGCCGTCCTCACCTTGTCTCTGACCAGACTGTAGCAGGAGGGACACTGCTGGCAGCCCGGAGCCGAGCGGTTGTAGAAGTAGTTCTCCTCACACATGTCACATCGAGCGCCGACGAAGCCGGGCCGACACTCACAGCGACCGTCCTCTTTACACTGACCCGACTGAGAGCCTTCAGGGTCGCAGTCGCAGGCTGCGGGTCGCACAGAGGGAGGCTTTTTATTTATCTATTAAACCACATACATCAAATGACGACACCTGGACACAGTCCAACTCGCACCCCGTTTACACCTGCATCTGTATCCGGAGACGTTACCCCAATATGTCACATTGAGTGCAGATGTTAGAACTCACAAAGATAGATGTTGTTCTACGTTCTACGTCTGTGTCATGAAAGCTCCAACAGACACAACATTAATAATAATGCTGATACAGAGAGAAATAACTGTGTGCAGTCGGTACTCAAACCCATTGGGACAACACAGATTCTATAGAATTTGCTAACGAGAGCGCAGTAATAAAACTGATCGTTTATGATCCTGTTAATGAGTCCGGATGCAGGTGTTTAATTCCAGGTGTTAATGGCGTGTTGTGGTGATATCACTGTACTTACGTTTGCATCCGGACGAGCTAAAGCCGAAGAAGTTGACCTCGCAGCGTTCGCAGTGCAGGCCGGTGACGCCGGGTTGACACTCGCACTGTCCCGTAGTGATGTCACACTGGCCGTTGGTGGAGCCAATCGGATTGCAGTTACACCTGTGGAAGCGAGGAGAGGAACGGTTAGAAAGGGCGGCCTGTTCTGTCGATCTGATGCTGCTGCGAGGTGAGTCAGCTGACCGTTCGCAGCCATTGCCGCTCTGCAGGTTGAAGAAGCCGGGCTGACAGGCGCTGCAGTCGCGCTCGGCGACGTTGGGGAGGCACTGACACTGACCGGTGACCTGCGAGCAGCCGGTCTGACGGTCGACGGTACCGGATGGCGAGCAGGAGCAGGCTGAGGAGAACCGCAGTCAGTGAGTCAACAAACAGGAACCAATAAGGACATGAACAATGAGGGCGAACGGGACTTCCTCTTACGTTTGCACTTGTCGGCAGGGTTGGCGGCCAGGGCGTTGCCGTAGAAACCGTCCTTGCAGCGGTCGCAGAAGAAGCCGTCGGTGTTGTAGATGCACTTGAGGCACTCTCCGGTCTCGCGGTTGCAGTTGCCGACGGCGTTGGGGTCGATGTTGTCACTGCACTTGCAGGCGCGGCAGGCTCGCACTGGCCCGCTCTGACCCAGAGGGTCACCGAAGAAACCGTCATCACAGAGCTCACAGCGCTTACCTGCAGACAGGTGAGGTCAGAGGTCACACACCTGGACTGGAACAGGTAATCTTTGTTACATTACAATGTGTGTACAGGTGAGCTGTGTGTACCTGTGGTTCCTGCGGGACAGTTGGTGCAGACCACCTCTCTGGTTTTGAGGACAACGGCGCAGGTGGCTCCGGCCGGACAGGGACATGGCTGACAGTCACCTGACGTCCCCCGGGTGGCGTCGCCATAGAAACCGTCTTTACAGCGCTCACAGCTCAAACCGGCCGTGTTGTCCCGACAGTCACACGCTCCTGGACAGAGAGAAACAGTCAGTAACAGTCAGTAACAGTCAGTAACAGACAGAAACAGTAACAGTCAGTAACAGTCAGTAACAGACAGTAACAGTCAGTAACAGACAGTAACAGTCAGTAACCAGTCAGTAACAGTCAGTAACCAGTCAGTAACAGTCAGTAACAGTCAGTAAACAGTCAGTCAGCAGTGTTACCTGTGTTGGGGTTGCAGTCGTCGCTGTGTCCGTTACAGTTGCAGGGCTCACAGGGGCTGAAGGCTCCGAGCTCTGGACGGGCGCGGCGATATCCCAGAGTGCACTGCTCACAGTGTTGACCCTGATAACCCTGAGGACAGGTGCACTGCTCCACCCAGCGGGCTGGAACTCCTGGAGCCCGCCTCGCCGTCACCAAGGAGACATCGTCAAGGTAACCGGCGCCTGGAGAGACGGATTCATTAGCAAACATAGACAGAGTTTTCTACCTTTACCACAGTGAAGTGTTTCTGAGTGCGTACTCCTCTCGCTGTAGGTGCCGCGGATCTTGATGGCGGTCAGGTTGTGGAGAAGTTTCTGGAAGTCAGAGTGGCTGATGGTTGGCCTCCAGGGGTAGTCAGTGCTATCATGGAGTCTGAACCGCAACCAGAGCAACACATCAATAACATTATCACCCAGTTTAATACAGATTACCACCAATAATCTGTCCAATTGAGCCAGATTACCAGTGAACAACAAATCTTAATCCAGAATATTAAAATAATTATAAATAATCACAAAATATATTCGTCATAAATTAAAACCAGATGTTAGCTAGATTTTACTGATAACTGACACTGGAAGGAAATTTAAGATTATGAATTAAATCCGGATTAACAGAATTTACAGATTATGGAAACAAACATTTATTATAATTCAGGAGCACAGTGGAAATAAATTAGTTTATTTTGTGTTTCTGAGTTAAGCTGAATTGAATCTGTGTTTTTTGTGTGTGTGACATTAAAACGAAACGTCATTCAGATTATCAATACATTTTAATCTCAGATTAACAGGTCAGATAATCTGTTGAGAGCAGGTGTGTCTCACCTAAACACGTATGTCTGCATGTTCTCATGGGGGTAGGCGTTGCCCTGAGCGATGAGGGGGACGGCCACCCTCAGGTTGGCTCCCTCCAGCACTAGATCCTCCGCCGACAGCCGAGTGTCCCGCCGGTCGACACGGAAACTCAGACTCAGGTTCTGTCCGTAACTCAGCATCTGGTTCCCCAAAAACTTCTCTGTGACGCACAGAAAGACGAGAAAAACACACCTGGATGTTAAAACTCAGACTGTTAGCTGGCTAGCATTAGCTTGTTCAATTACGTGGGATTATCTCTGATCAGTTCGTACCTGGAGCTATGAAGTACATGGGGAAGTAGTCGTCTGAGATGAGGGAGATTTCCTGTCCGCTGGGAGACCACTGCACGGAGACGCTGGATCCATCACGCTGTTGACCAGTCCACTGTTCGTCATCTGACACACACACACACACACACAGACACACACACACACACGTTACAGCAGCGACACTGTGGTTAAATATTTCTTCTGGGTTTTTGCGTCCCTGCGTCTCGCCTGCAGGTGGCGTGTCTTACCTCTGTAGAAGGACGAGCTGACGCTGTGGACGCTGAAGCCCTCGGCGCTGTCGCACACAGACGAGTGCTGGAAGCAGAAACAGGGGGTGCAGCCCTGAGGGTTGGTGGGGTCCAGGTTGAAGTAACCCAGTTTACACCTGACAGACACACACAAGTTCAAACATCAGAGCCTCTAAAATATGAGCTGTCATCACTCACAGGTCAAAGGTCAGAGATCAGTCTTCAGCTGTATCTGATGACTTTGCTTCACTTCATCCAGTCTTCATGAGCTTAAAGCAACTGGAGTTTAATGTGTCCGTCTCTGAAAAATGCTGATAATCAGTCTCTCCTTACAATGAGTGGCAAAGACTGCATGTGACCTCGCTCAATACGCTGCACAGGCATTACTCGATGCAACTGTCTCAGCCTGTGAGAAGAAAGATCTTCATGCTATATAAAACAGCTCATACTGTCTCATGCAGAAGGCTTCGGATTGAACCTGCTGACAAGGTTGTGTGTAGGTTGTAGGTGTGTAGGCTGTGTGTGTGAGATGAGTGAGAGACATTTGTCGTGGCTTCCTCTGAATAACAGGACAGCAGCTGCCAACCAAATTATAATCATAGTATATATATATATATATTATATATACTATATAATATATATGGTATATAGTAGGTAGTATATCAAGACGTATATATAATATATCAGAGATATATCATAGAATATCATACGGTATATATCATAGATATATAGTATATATATATATATAACGATCAACAACATGTGCAGATAATTCAGCAGCAATTTATA